GTGGGGGTGGGAGGGAGTGTAGGGGGCGGGTTTCTAGGATATACCCTTTGGTTGGTTGAGGATGCATGCAGGGGATTGGTAATGAGATGATAGACGATGGAATGAAAGTAAAATGAAAGTTCTTTCATGTAAACTACCATATAATTCACAATAAAACATTTAAAAAAGTTTCCTTTTGAGTGTTAAAGAGCAAAGATGTCACTTCTGAGGACTAAGGTGCACCTTACCCAAGCCATGGTATTTTCAATCACCTCATATGCATATGGAAATTGGACAATGATTATAGAAGAATTGATGCATTCAAAACAAAACAAAACCCCCCAGAGGGAATAAAAGCAAATACTGTTGAATAATGATGCATGGAGGAAATTGTAATCATTGCAATGAAACGATGATGTAAATAAAGCCAATGTTTTCCCATGTAAACTATCACTCAGTTCACAATAAAAACTTTCATAAAAAATGTCCAGCCAGTATACTCCTTAGAAGCAAGAATGGCAAAACTTCGTCTCTCGTACTTTGGACATGTTGTCAGGATGATCAGATCCTGGAGGAGCACATCATGCTTGGAAAAGTGGTGGAACCGTGAAGAAGGAAGACCCTCAATGAGACGGACTGACAGAGTGGCAGCCACAATGGGCTCAAACACAGCAGTGCTTGTGAAGGTGGGGCAGGGCCGGGCAGTTTCATTCTGTTGTGCATCAGGTCAGTAGTGACTCGAAGGCACTTAACAAAAACAAAAACATGAGCAAACTATTGACCGACACAAGAAGACTATTTTAGGAGGTGGTCCAGGATCCAGAATTGATGGTATTGAAGGAAGAGGTTAACGTTACACTAAGACATTAAGGAAAAACACCAATTAAGATGACTCACAACCCAACTCTGGGCTAGGATGGGCCACATATGGACTTGAGACCTGGGGAAAGTAGAGGTGGAGCTAAAAGAGGGTCCCAAGGCCCCCCAATGTTCCAAGACAAAGCAATGATGCACATGCAGTGAGAAGTACAGACAGACAGACTCTGAGCAATGGGCTGGCCAGACCTAGTGGTGTGAGGACCAGCTGCAGCGACAAGGACACCATCAGTTGGAGGAAGTTGTTTACTGTGGATTTTCGTTTCTTTAAACCATGAATGCAAATAGAATCTGGTCAATGAATTATTCTTGAAGCATTTATTGAGATGATCAAGTGGTATTATGGGCTGCCTGGTGGTGGTGGTAGCGGCTGTGTGCCGTGGAGTCATAATGACCCTGCATAGGGTTTCCGAGGCTGTAAATCTTTATGGGAGCAGAAAGGCTCCTCTCACTCCTGCAAAACAGCTGGTAGTTTCAAACTGCTGACCCTGAGGTTAGCAGCTCAACTAGTAACTAGTATGTTATCAGAGTTCCTTATGGACTAAATGGTGCTCTCCACAAAATGATTGATGAAGTTTTAACCCCTGTACCCAAGAATGTGACCTTGTTTGGAAACAGGCTTGGTGACCCCCAGCTCCTTCAGGTGCTAACCCCAGGCGCCCCAAGGTCTGTCCATCTCACTTCTGAAGTCCCTCTCTGAGACTTTTCTCACTAGAAGCCGCTGCTGTTTCTTCGGACTGCACCACCATTTCTTGCCGGCACGTTTGGCTGGCTCCTACTTTTAGCTCATGGCTAACCTGCAGTGGCCTCCTGGACCCCCTGGCTGGAGCAGGGGCCTTTCTTAGGCTGCCCAAGCCCTACAGGGTACATTCTTGAGGCTTCCTTGCTCTCCTAGGACTGACTGAAGGGGGTGGCCAGGTTTGTGGAGTGTGGGAATGCCTAGTGAGGTCCTCCTTTGCAAAGCCTGTGAGAGTGGGGGGCCTCCTGTTCATTGGCAACAGCAGAGCAGGTGAATATCACACTCAGGACAGGTGGGCCCACCAGGCATAGGCTCAGCTGGCTGGCACACTAGCTCTGCTCCTCCCTCCTCTGAGCCTCAGTGTGCCCATCTGCAGAATGGGCCCACGGCCCCTGCCTCCCACCCTCCATGGCCCGTGGCTCACCCATTAGGCTCTGGCGCTCCTCCTTCTTCCGTGCCTTCTGCTTGGCCTCCAGCTGCACCACCGACAGGGCCGGACCCACGGTGGGGCTGGGCAGGGCACTGGCTGCGAAGCGTGCCAGCAGGCCCAGCCCGCTCTCCTCCAGGCCTGGCGACAAGGCCCGCTCCCGGGCCCCCAGCCTATAGCCGCCACTGGCCTCGTCCTCCTCCTCCTCCTGGAGCCCTGCATCCTCCTCCTCCGAGCTCTCATCTAGCGTGCAGAAAACAGGGGCCAAGTCAGAGCTCTGGTCTCAGCATTTGTCACCGCCCAGTGTCCCCCAGCCCAGAGCCACCATTGGTATGGCGCCAGTGCAAGGTGACTTGGCACCCAGCTCCTCCCCAGGGGGCAGCTGGGGAGTGGTCCGAGCTGGCCAGCACTTCCTACCCATGTCCCCTCCGCCCCATCACATGAGCCCAGAGACAGCAGCGGCTGTGGGTATAGAGAGGCCTCCTGTCAGTGGGATTCCGGCATGCACCTTGGCTGGGTCAGGGACAGACACATGGACAGGACTGGAGACAGCTCCCTCCACGTCTCACACACACACAAACACACACACACACGCCCGACACACAACATGAAGGCTGACAAGGAGGCAGCTGAGAAAAGAAGGGAAAGGGAGGCTGAGGGAAACGTGGGGGTGAGGGTGGGGGTCCCTCAGGGTGTAGCTGGAGGTTTTGGGTGTGGGTGCCCTTGAAGGAACCAGAGGCCCAGGGCTGGCAGCAGGAGAAGGTGGTCTTTTCCAGGGGTGGGCAGTTCAAGTCCACAGCTGACTCCCAGCAACAACCCCATGCAGGGGAAGCCTAGGCAACCCACTAGTCCTCTCAGAACCCCTATTTCTCATTTCCACATAGCTAAGAACCAAGCTCACTGCCATCGAGTCGATTCCGACTCACAGCAACCCTGTTATCGGTTTTCTGAGACTGTAAATCTTTAGGGGAGCAGACAGCCTCATCTTTCTCCCAAGGAGTGGCTGGTGGGTTTGAACTGCTGACCTTACGGTTAAGCAGCCCAACACCTAATGCTCAGAGCCAACAGGGCTCATTCATTACCCACCTGAGGGCAAGGTTCAGACAGGTTCCTACACATGTGGGAGAAACAGCACCCGTCTGCATAGGAAAGAATGGTACAGAGAAATTCCAAGCTGGAAAGTACTTGTGGCTTGAAGCAGGGCATTGGACTGCCTTGCTTACCCGCCCCAACAAAAGCTGCAGTCAAGTCAACTCTGACTCATGGCGATGCCATGTGCTCCATTGGGTTTCTCAGCTGCCATCCTCGCAGAAGCAGGTCACTAGGCCTATGTTTCACGGCACCACTGCGTGGTTCAAACCACTCAGCACGACCTGTTTGCACCACACAGAGGCCATGGGCTTCCTCATCCACTGCCGTTGAGTTGATTCCAACTCACAGTAACCCTACAGACCAGAGTAGAACTCCCCATCAGGTTTCCAACAGTAATCTTTTCTGACACTGACTGCCTCATCTTTCTCTCTTGGAGAGGATAGTGGGTTCAAACTGCAGGCCTTTCCGTTTGCAGCCCAACGCTTAAACCATGGCACCACCAGGGTTCCTTGCTTAGCCATAGTTGAATGAAAAATGAACCCCACCCTGGGGTATCAGAGTGGTGGGTGGGTGCATCACTCCCTCACATCACATTTGGTGACTGGTTTGACAAGGTGGGCTTCTCTTAAAAAAGCCACCATGCCTGCTTACCTAAGTCCAGCTGTGGCAATCAGGAGCCAAGCTGCAACTCAGGGGACCCTGCAAGGGAGGACTGTGCTCCCTGCAAATAAACCAAACCTGCCATCGAGAAAGTAAGACACTTACAGGGGATCCAGACATCCCCAACGAGGGCGGGCAGCGGGCAGGCAGAGCAGGAGGCCGCCCAAGAACTAAGTGGGCCTGAGACATGCCATGCGTGACCGGGACCCACCAGAAAAGCCACGAGAGAGACAACATGTCTCTGGGGTAGCAAAGGCCAAGTCCACGTTCTCCTGCCACCCCCCAGGGCTGCCAATGAGGTCAGGGGGTCCTTTGTGTGTGCCCAGCTCCGGAGAAAGCCAGGTTCCTGTTGGGAGGGGTGAAGGGTTACGTCAGGGGGTAGAGAGAGGAAGAGGCAGAGAGGGGAGGGCTGTTAAGAGCGCGAGGCAGGGAGGGGTGCGGCCCCCAGAGCAATGGATGGCACAGGATGGCGAGGCGAGCGGGCAGGCAGACAGTGCACACGTGCGATCCATTCACATGGCGGCGGTGTCACATGGTTCGTCTCCGGCCAGCGGGTCACAGCAGCAAAGCAGGCTAGGTGTGGGCAGACTCCCACAGCACCTGGGTCCCCCCCATCGGGGCCTGGTCAATTCCAGAAGGGGGCCTGGTGGGGAACTGTTTGGGATGGGCAGTTGGAGCTGTGGCCATAAGGTTTCCCTTCCAAAGAACTCCTTCCCTGGTTGCTCAAGTGTGGAGACCCCAATCAGGAATCTTGGGGCAGGAGAGGGCTGGCTTTTGCCTTGGAGCATTCTGCCCACATTAAGACTTGGGCACCAGATCCCAGTCCAATGCCAGCAACTTGGAACAGCAGAGCATTTGGCAAGGCAAAGACCAAAAAAGGGGTTCAGTTTCCACACAGTGGAGGTGCCATTTTGGAGGTGCAACAAGCATCCCAAGGCTGCTGGTTAACTGGGGCCAGGGCCAGTGTCAGAGGGGCAGCAAGGTTCAGAGTCCTCCCGCAGTGGAGCAGAGGGGACCTGGGAACCACAAAAAACCCTTCTGGAACACTCCATACCATGAGGGTATCAGAGTGAGCCAAGGATGGGCAAAAACGTTCCCAAGAAAGAAACCCAAGGAACGTAGAAAAACGTTGGGTGGTTGTTCGTTTTACTTTGTTTGAATCTTGGATCCATATGTGTGGGATTGGCTGTTGGAACTTGGTTTGGTTTCTCCAAACCCAAGAAACGCCGAGGCAACCTCCTGCTGCCATACCCAGTGGGGGGTCCACCCCAAGGAGTCGGAAGGTGGAGAGGGGACAGAAAAGAAAAGGGTTTTGCCTACCTACGGAGCAACGAGCCGGGCTGGGGCTCAAGCTCGGGGCCCTGCTGCGCTGTCTGCCTACTCCCAGCCTCCACTTTGCGTCCAGAGTGCAGCGTGAGAGCAAATGCAAGAGACCGAAACAGACATTCAAAGCATCATGGGTAGGGGTCAAGGGTGAAGGGATGGTCAAGCTGCTGGGGGGAAAAGCAGACACACTAGAAAAGGCAAGCCAATTAAAGGATTTTAGTACTGGGGGAGAGGGAGTCAGTAAGGCCCTATTACCCAAATATCCCTTTGCAAGGCCTGACCAAGGGTCAGTGTGCAGGGGGGGCAACCGAGTCAAGCATCTCAAGCCAGGGGGCCTCATCCCACTCCCCCCACACCCCTTCTGCTTCTGGATCTGGTCTCTCAAACAGAGATCCTTTAGCTCTGCTGTTCAGCTCTAAGTGAGGGCCCCCCCCACCCCAGTTCCTGCTACCCACTTCCTTATAATTTGGTGGGGGGGGGCGCATTGGTGGGTTGGGGGGCCACATCTGCTTTGATGGATTCAGGCAGGAGGTTGCAAAAACTGGGGAGCTGAACCCCGACTTTAGGGAGATGGGAAAAAAGGGAGCATGGTGCACTCGATGAAGTTGGAGGAGGGAGGCTCAGGAGTAAGGGAGAAACCCTATCAGACTGGCCCCCCCAGGTCCCGGAAACCAGGCTGGCTGGGGATGGAGTGGCCCCTCTTCTCACCTGGCAGCAGCCCGGGAGACCATTAGCCCAAAGGGAATGTGCAATTTCTTGTCACCTAAACAGGTCTCTAGCAACAATTTGGAGGGAGGTATGGGGAGGGAGAAGCAGAACAAGGAATATGAGCCATGCCTGGAGCATAGGACCTGCACAGCCCCCGGGAGCACGTTCCCATCTAGCCTAAGCCAGTCCCTGTCCAAATGTGCCAGGAGCCACCCCAGCCCTAGCCCCGGAGTCCGGGTCATGAGTTTGACAATCCAGGTGCTGCTCGCTCTTCTAAAAGGAGTCTGCCCTGAAACAAACCCTAAAACTGGGGCTGGGACACCATTTTCCAGAAATCATGCTTCTGATTGAAGGGCTTGGAAGAATCTCCAGCATTTCTAACTCCAGAAGTCTGATTCTGAGATCAGAAAAAGGCAGTCAGAGGGGGTCTCAGGGCTCCCCGAGTCTGAGCCTCGCATTTCATAAGGGATGTGACGGAGGCCCCCTGGCTGACGCAGAGGTCGAGCAGAGGCCAAGCTAGGCCATTGGACTCCTAGCCCAGTGCTCTTCCCATACTTCGTCCCTCAGCACGGCCACAAAGCCAATGCTTTTGCATTTAACAATAAAAAAAAAACCCCAAAAACAAACAAGGGACGTGCCCAACTGTCTTGCCCCTGTACTGCCCACATGCCCTTCAAAACAGAAATAGATGTTGAAACACAAGTGTTGGCGAACCACTAGTTCTTAACCAGTGCTGGGGATGAATTAGTGCTTCAGAAAATAAATGACAAATACAAGCAGCTCAAAAAATAAAATAAAATGAAAAAAAAAATTTAAAAGGTGATGCTGGAGGTGAAAGCAGTTGACTTTGAACCTGCAAAATGGAATGAATGCCAATAGCTACCAGGGATATTTGAATAATAGAGAAAAGCAGTAGATTGCATTAACTCCATTGCTACTCCTGTGGGGTGGTGAGGAGGAAGCGGGGAGGGAAGAGGAACAAAATGAAGGGAAGCGTCAACCTAATTGTCTAGTAAGGACACAGCAAGAGAGACAAGGCACACGGGTTTAGTTAAAAATGAACTCGATATGTTTAATAAAGCTTGGTATTACCAAAATCCCGCGCAGTACAGACATCAAGTCACACGCCCACACGACAGAATTCCATTTACAAAATGTTCCTCAGGAAGCCTCCACCGGGCCGCCCATGGCGAAAGAGAACCCAACCCAAGCCTGTGGTCTAGGTGGGCAGAAAAACTGAGAAGGAACTTAGGGTAAGGGAAGTGGGGTGGGAGAGTAAGGAGAGTGGAGAAAGGTAAAGACTAATAAAAACCCAGCCCATATAAAAGCTCAAAAAGAGCTAGCCAATGATATTATCACAATGATACAAGTACAAATAAAAACAAAAATAAAAAATAATTAGGCGGATAAGGCAGGCTACGCTGCCAAGAACCAAGATGGCCGTCCTTCCTGTGGCCATCCAAGATGGAGGACCTCAGTGTCTGCCATCTCTATCTTGTGGGCATGCTCTCTCGATCTCTCTCTTGCTCTCTCTCTCACGCGCGTGCTTTCACTCACTCGCTCTAGTTATAAAACATGGAAGGTATATTTTGTGTTTTGAGCTAGTAACCTTGGTCAAACGAGTCCTCCGAAGAGTCACTGAAGGAGGAACGTGCGTCGGCCTCTCGGAGCAGCAAGCAAAATGACTGCTTTCTGCTGGTGGCCGGCTTGGGTTTCAGAGTCCGGGAGGCCACCAGGCCCCGCTTGGTCAGCTTGGGGCCTCCTGCTGGCTTGCTGTTCTTGGCCACCATGCCACAAAGAATGGAAGATGTCAATTTGGAGCTGGAGGGGCCTTGGCCAGACCACTCATCCTTCAGGAATTCCTCATCTTCCTCGGAGTCAGTATCTGCAGTCAAAGTAGTTTGTAATAGAGGTAAGTCACAGATGCTGAGCGAGGGGTAGGCATTCTTTATTTTACTGCTCTTAGTGCTTTGGGGAAGAGATTGGTGCAAGCCTGAGCAGAGAGGTACAGATGCCTGTTGACCGAGGAAGAAAGCTCAGTGGGCAACAGGCTCTCCTTCCCTCGCCTGGGCCTCTGGCCTTTCACCCATGGAGGCCTCCGAGCCACAGGCCCTGCATGGCTGGTCTTTCGTGTACTTGGAGCTGGGCCCATTCTAGGCTGGATGCTGCCAGCATCACCTGCCATCAGTCACTTCAGCAAACACCAGCTGTGAGGCAGCCTTCCTGGGGGGTGGGGGTGGGGGGGTGGTCAGGGCAGTCAGCACTCAGCCCAGGGACTTCTTTTGGTGACCCAGAGAGGAAAGAGCTCCACGAAGCTCTTCTCTCCAAAATACAGGCACCCAGTGGCAGGCAAGCTGGGGCCTGTCTCCCAGTCAATGACATCACCCGGTTAGCTTGGAAATGGCTGCGGTGAGAGTACTTACACCAAGGCAATCGGCACACCATTACAAGTCAGGGCCTTAGTTCTTTCAGAGCAGCTCACTATTGCTGGCTTCCCCTCCCCTAAGTCTCTAGTCTAACCATGTGGTCAAAGCTCAAAGTTTTCAAATTTTCCTGGCAGGAATCCAGCTAGCATTAGGGAGCAGGGTGCTGGGCCTTTCCAACCCCACCACACTCACATCCTTTTATCTGTTTTACATATTGCATTGCCAAACAAGATTGTGCTGGAAGAAAGGGCTCCACAGCCAAAGACTGTAATCTCTTGTTCTGGCACAATCCACAGGAAATGTGAGGAATGCTAACACACACAGCTACAGTGTGGCTTCTCCAAGTCCAAAAGAAACTACATATGATGAGGGGCCAGGCCTCTGGCTGCTTCCACAAACATCTATGGTTTCCACTCCAACCAAGACCAGTCATAGGATGACCTGGCAACCCAAGGCGAGGAAAAAAATCACACCAAGCTGCCACCATTGCACACCCTCAACCATAGCTCTCATAGTTTCCTCCAACCTCTGGCCTTCCTGAGGTTCCATCCCAGACTGGAGACTCCTACGGTGACAATAATCAAAGTGTCTCTCCACCAGGCATGCCACCCGCCCCTCCAGTTCAAGCAGCAAGTGGAGTAAGTACTGTTCTTTCATGCCATCTGCCCACACAGCGGAACTCTGCGGCAAAGCACAGCTCCCAACCTCTTTGGGGCCTTGTGTTCTCATTTGCCTAGGCTCACTAAAGAGCCAATCAAAACTTTTTTTTTTTAATGTAATTAAAACCAAAACAAAGATAGGATTTCTCTACAAAGTCAATGGCATACCGTAGTAAGCACTGGACTGCTAACCACAAAGTCTGTGGTTCAAAACCACCAGTCACTCCTTAGAAACTCTATACAGGGTCACACTATGAGTTAGAACTGACTCAACAGTACTTTACAATAACAAGTCATTCTCTAGTTGGAAATTGGCCTTTTGACTCTTGCTGTATTCTAAACCCATTTATCTAGCCTAAGGAGTCTGTAGAGCCCTGATGTGGTGCTGTAGGTTAAGTACTGGACTTACATGCAAGATTGGCAGTTCAAACCCACCAGCGACCCTCAGAAACCTTATACAGGGTTGTTAGGAGTCAGAACCAACTCGATGATACACAGCAACCGAACACAACAAGGAGTCCAACGGTGGTACAAGAAGAACCTCAAAAGAAAGGCGTGGTGACATGCTTCCCAAAAGTCCCAGCCTTGAAAACCCTTCAGAGTTCGGTTAGACTCTGCCACGGGCTCACCAGGAGTTGGAATCGACTAAATGGCAACCAGTTTTCTTGACAAGACAATGTAGTTTTAGATGATGGCAAAATTGGTTATATAGGCAATTGTGAACATTCTTTCTGTCATACAACAGCTCAGAGAACCTGAGACCTCAGGGACAGAGCTAATCTGTGACCACCAATACCACCCCCATTCACTTGCACCTATAAGCAGGAATAATGGGGTCCCTCCAGTGACCAGCCAAGTCACATTCACAGATCATACTACCGCATGTCAAAGGAGCAACCACACCCCTCCACACACCCATTCTGCATCATCCCATAACAGCCGAGATAGAGCATGCAAAGGAAGCCCTTTCTCTGAAACTGTCCCTTTCTACTGTGTCCATGTTGTGACCAGAGGTCTGGGCAGTGCTATTCTGACCGCACGCATATGCATCAGGGCGCTAGGTCAACCTCACATATCCACAGTCCTCACGTCAAACACAGAAGGCAGAGAGAGGCTCACCTCAGGACCATCTGAGCAGAGCAAGCACAGCATGTATACTGAAGATAGCCACAGCTTAATTCTGGGCCTGGTGCCATATTGAGCTTTACCTGCATGAGCTCACTGAAGGCTCACACCAACCTTTCCAGGCAGGTATGGGTATCTGGACTCAAAAAAATCAATAACAGTTTTCTCTTCTTTCCTTAAGAAAACACACTTTATTACAACATTCAAACTGCCCAATGAGCCAGTCAGAGCCAATCCAAAGCTCAAGATATACAGAAACGGGCAGATGCCCAGCCAGCCAGCATCAACAAGGTTGACCTTTCCAGAATCCAAGACCATCCTAGCCCTTGGTAAACAAAAGAAACATGGTACCTATCTGTCCTGGGCATAAAGTGTTCAACCATACTTACTGAGTACCTAGCATGCCATACAGACCACAAACAGCCATGAAGGAAGCCGTTGGTTAAACCAAGTTTGTCTTGCTCAGGAAAACCACAAGGGCACGATCTGAGATTTCAGTGACGGCAGCCCAATATGGTAGTCTCGAGTCCCACATAGCTATTAATAAGAAAATCCCTTAGAATTAAATCAGCTCTGTACTATAGATGCATGGGATATATTCCAAGTGCATAGTAACCACTTGTGACTTGCTGTTGTTAAGGGCCATCTCATAGCAACCCTGCATAGGGTTTTCGAGGAGTGGCTGGTAAATTTGAACCGCTGACCTTTTGGTTCAAACGGACCTTGTGGTCCAGTACTTATCCCACAGCGCCACACCAGGACTCCCTTTGTGACTTAGTGACTACCATATTGGTCAACACAAATATGGAATGGTTCCAGGAAGTTCTATTGGACAGTAAAATCCGGTTTTATTCCAGTTCCAAATCTCCCTATCCAAAGGGCACTTAACCCTTCACCTGGCCTCAGCATCAATAAACTCTTTTTACCAACACCATGTTGTATAAGAGTTAAAGCACTTAGGGCTACATTTGTCAGCCTGTTGATAGCGTTTCCGGAGGCCAGGTAAGGCCCAGCCGACCCAGAAAACCACTCCAGGACTCTCCAGCCCAAGTCGTGGTAAACTCTGGCTCACAAGTAGTGCAAAAGAGGAGAGGGCGAAGACGGGCAGGCGGCTTCTGCTCCCACCCACCAATCACAGGCCGCCATGCCCTCCAATCACAGACGCTCCCTAGCGCATGCGCCCCACCAATCACTGGCACATCCGCTCCTGGCTTGTCCCATTTCCTGCTTGAACCCGCGCAGAAAAATGAAAACAAAGGCACCTTCAATCGTCCCCCCAAAACAAGGAAGAAGCGAAAGGAGAAGAAGAAACGGCGCGGAGGCGGCATGGCGCCCATCTGCTACTTACTGTAGGAGTAGCTGCTCACTTCTGAGGCGAACGGGGAGTGGCCTGACTTGGGCAGGGCTCTGGCTTTGAACCCCACATCCATCTTCGTGGCTTTGGCCACCCTCTTGTGTTTACCTTCCCTGGAGGCTTTCAGAGACAGGCTGAGGCCTTTGGCCAACGCTTTTCTGTCTTTGCTGAGCAGGCTGTCATAAGGAGTCAAGTACCTGCTACAGGCCCCGCTAGCTTTTGATTTCCCCCCAGCACTGTCCGAAAACTTGAAGGACGATGACTTCAACTTGTCCTGCTTGGTGAGAGAGAGGGCCTTGTCAAGCTTGCTTGCCAGTTGCTCCTGGTCGCTGGCCATCTTCTTCTTCTTAATCTTCAGCTGGAGAGGAAGTTGGATCATGAGTTAAGATGTGCGGCAATTAGAACAATCAATTAAAAGGGCAGCATTTGCCCAGGGAAAAAGCTCAAAAGGCAGGAAAGGAGGATGCGTGGGTGTGTAAACGGGAAACAAAGGGAGGAAGTGGGAAGAATGCTGCTGCATTATGGGAATGGCAATCAATGCCACGAAACAAAGCATGTATGGATTGTTGAGTGGAAAACCAATTTGCTCTGTCAGCTTTCACCCAAATCACAATAGAAAGGTTTTTTTTTAAAAGATGTGGCAAAATGACAGAAAGGTTTGAGTGACTACAGGGATAGACCTGGGCCAGTGTCCTTCACAGCCGGCTCTGTGACTTTTGTAAAGGTGCTTAACTTCTCTTAGCCTGCGGACATCACAGATGGGCAGCACAGAGCTGTGCTGAAGATGGAGATAAGGAACAGAGAGCATTTCTCACAAGGCCTGGCACAAGCTAACTGTGTATGAAGTAGCTGCTACTGTGGTTACAATTATCATTGGCTCGTCTGCTCCAGCTTTCTGGTGCCTCCTGGGGAATTGCTCAGGCAAGCCAAATTCACCACAAGCCGAGAAGGCAGCTGGATTAACCAAGATAGGAAAACCAGATTGTAGCTGGGCGGATCAGCTAATCTCAACCATTTGAAGACAACAGCTATACCATCTACAGGAGCCCATCCAACTAAAAAATGCCCAGGGGCTGCCAAGAAAGTGCCTTCTCGTATGTAGCTTGGCTGCCTGAAGTAGAAAGAATGATGGGAGATTTCTCAGATTAAATTGCTGCTTGCACCTCTATCGTCAAGGCTAACCATTTGTTGGAAGGGAAATGTACCGTTTCAAAGCTGTGAATGTCCCTCATTTGAACGTTTTATCTCCATTTCCTTTAATCGGGTAGCATTTCATATGGCGGAGAAAAGCTGAGCGAGCATCATTTAAACAACACAAGTATCCTTTACCATGTGAGGGTAAAAGGATCTGGAAGCATAAACTGACTGTAACGCCCACTCCTGCATCTAGTCTCCCAATGTGAGTATTCCTGATGGACAGACAGATCACCCAAAACAGCTCTGCCACCCAGGACTTGCTGGGGAGGGATTATCAAGGTGGGGGGAGTATTTAGAGACAAGAATGTTAAATGGAGGATTCATATGCTCTGAATAGGAAAATACGAGTTGGCGTTCAACCACCACCCCAGGAATGTTCACAGGGGAGCTCCCAGTGGTGTCAACCCTTGTCCTTAGAACTACAGAATGTGACATTACTCCTTAAACAATGACGCTATTCAACAGTATCACATTATCAGGCCCTGTGTCCCTGCTTGGCTTTGGCAGCAAAGGGTCATATAGAGATGTCACACAGTGGAGTGTGTATTAAGACTGTGTTAGTTTGGTAAATCCATGACCACATTTCTGAGCCTTCATTTCCCTAGTCCTGGTGTGGTGCTATAGGGTATGTACTGCACTGCTAACCACAAGATCAGTAGTTCAAATCCACTAGCTGCTCTTTGGAAATGCTATGTAAGGTCACTATGAGTTGGAACCAATTTTACAGCACTTAACAACAAGAATTTTTTACAGACTCCCTAGGTGGCACCAACAGTTGACACTTCAAACTACCAATCAATGGCACCATAGAAGAAAAGCCTGGCAACGTGCCTAGAAAATGTGGGCATGACAGGGTTTTGTGTCAACTCAACGGCATTGGTTTGGTAGTTGAGATGTGCTTGTTCCTAATACAGGCATAGTTAACTCTAAGATGAGTGGCTATGAGCAACCAATCAACTGAAAGGATATTTACTTGGGGGAGTGGCCTGCTTCCAATATAATGTACACTCGGGAAAGGCTCTCTCCCTTCGGCTGGGGACCTGGGACTCGACAATTGTAAGCCATTTCCTTGATATAAACTTCTCTTTACATACATATATACATACATAAATGTTTCACTGATTTTCTCTAGAAAACCCAACCTACAACAAAGGGTTGCCATCGGTCAGAATCAACTTGATGGCATGGGTTTGGTGGGTTTTGGGTTTTGTTTGTACAGTAAAGATAGGACAAGAGTCACTGATACTGAACTATCATTTCTGAATCACAACAGATGCCAAGGAAGGCAGCCTGCCCAGAGAATCTCACCCCAGGAGACTGGCTCACTCACTGACCTGGCTCATGAAGTCAGATGAAGTTTCGTGCTCATCCCAAGGCTGGCTTCTGCCCCGGGCTCTCCCAATTCCAATAAGGCCGTCGTGTTCCTCCTCTGCCCCTTTGTGTCTCTTCCTTATCCCAGCACCCAGCTCAAAGTCATCAGATGTCAACAGGGACTTGCTGCTGCTCAGCCTGAAACCCAGATGCACCACCAGTTAGTGCACGGGCCGGGCAACACTTGAGGGCTTGGGGGCCACCCTCACAGCCTGCAGGGCTGGACGACGTGACACGCATGTGAATGACGGACACGAGTCTGGGATGTTTGCACGTGAGGTTTCATGTGGAATAGAAACTTCAAGTTACCATCCTCTGCCAGCCTCCCCCTTGTGAGCACTCACTCACACTCACACACACACACACACACACCTCTGCATGGTGAGGTACCTTTTGACGGAAGCAACCAAGAACAAGGACCAGAAATGTCAAGGAAACCCACCAAGATGGGAGGGAGGGAACTGAAGGACAAGAAGCTATACCTGGAATATCCTGTACCTTGCCTCCAGCTTAACGTCCCGTCACAAGTAATAATAATAACAGCTCATTTTCATTTGCTGCATAATAAGTGCCCTGTGGTATACGTTCAGCAGTCGGCTGATAATGCAGAAGTGGGTGATTTGAACCCATCCAGTGGCTCCAAGAGGAAAAAGACCTAACTATCTGCTTCCAGAAAGATGACAGCCGAGGAAACCCTCGGGGCACAGTTCTACTCTGTCCCTTGGGGTCACTATGTGGTGGCATCAACTCAATGGCATCATCTCGATGGCACCCAACAACATGAGCCCTGACTGATGTTTTCTGTCTCAAATCGTCAAACGAAGCTATGCACAGGCTGAATTTTATACACGAGGCCATCATCAGGTGAAGCTGGGAGCAGGAAGTTCACCTAGCTCCCCACAAGGCCCACACCAACCCCAGCCCTGCCTCTGGCTGTCTCTTTTTCCAAGAGCCGCTTCACTCCCCGATCGTGGCTGAAGATGTGATGTTTCCCTTCCTCTTTATCTTCCAGGAAGGATGTCCCACACCAGAACGAGGGGTCCACAGAGTCATCTTCTGAGCAGCCCTGGGCCACCCCACTGCTTCCACTGAGCCTCCAAACACTGGTCTATCCTGACATCTCAGGCTAAGAGGTGCAACAGCCTGCTCTGTGGACCTCACTTGGCTTGTGTGAAGGTCACCCAGGGAGAACCAAAAAAATCACCCCTGTCCACCTAGGGCCCAGGCAGCAAAGCTCCCACTCCAGCCAGTGCCTAGGAAAACCTCCAGAGTGCCACACGAAGCTTCAGCAGACACCTAAAAAGCCAATCCCCACACCAAGCTAGGAGGCGACCCTGAGACAGGTCAGGGACCTGCTGCAGCCAGTGTGTGGAGAGCAGGAGCCGGTCCCTAGGAGGATGCAGTGCTCGGCTTGTGGCATCTCTGGAGCCATGTTCTGCCGGGGTCCTTCTTCCCTTGCTGTCAGCCTGTCCTTCTGCCATTCCTCACTCACCCTCCAGGCCCAGGTGTGCCGAGCCCCAGGGACCCTAGGTCCCCCAGGCCAGCCGCAGGAGCACGGGGGCCACCGGGCTCCACTGGGCCCCAGGCAGTCTCCTCCCCTCCAAGCTCCGTGCAGCCCCCGACCCACCGAGGGGCCAGCCTTACTTTCCGCTACTGTCTCGGCTCTTCCCTCTCTTGCAGGGGGGCGACAGGGCACTCAGGGTGGGCGTCCGTTTCCGCGGCCTGCCAGGGCCTCTGCGTGCCAAGCTTCTATGGGGGTCCTCGCGCCTGTCCCTTGAAGAGAATCACAGGCTCGGCTGTGAACTGGGTGGGCCGGGGGGCCGGAGAAGGGGCGCACGATAGGCACGCCCGCACGCACTCGATCACACACACAGACACACACGTCCGAGTGCCCTGCGCTGCCTGGCCTCCCCAGGCAGGCAGTGGGACAGGGCAGCACACTCACTCAGAGTCTCGGCGGCGCTGCAGCTTCACCAGTTCGCGCTGCTTCTCCTTGTACCTCCGCTGCACCTCAGCCAGCCGCATGCGGAAGTCCAGCTCCCGGGCGTCCATGTTCTCCAGGGACGACTTCATAGCGTACATCTGCAGAGGGTGAGGACGGGGCAGGATGAAGGGTGCTGAGGGCCCCCTCTACTCCACAGCGGGGGCCCACACAGCTCACAGTGAAGAGCAAGGGCTTTAGGGTCATGCACCCCAGCCTGAAGTCCCTCCTTGCCACACTGCCGAACTATAATATAAGCGGCTGCCTTGAAGCCGATTCCACCCCAGGGCAGCCCCGTGTGTATCAGAGTAGAACTTTACTCGACAGGGTTTGTAATGGCTGGATGTTCGGAAGATCACCAGGCCTGTCTTTGGAGGTGCCACAGGGTAGACTCAAACCACCAACCTTGAGCACTACCCAGGGATTCCACTTCAAAGACGGGTCCCGATACAGACTGCAGGACTAGCTTAGGTATGAAAGCTGTCCCATAAGCCAGGGCTAGTTTACATCTGGAGGCTCAGGACCTCACAGGAAGGCGACCCTGCTGCAGAGCCAACTCTGGGCCCCTGGTGTGCTTGCGCCTTGATCCACAGGCAGGCTGGAAAAACTGAGGCACGGCAAGTCAGGACAGAAGCTGGGTGCAGGTCCTGCCCTTCTGACTCCCAGCTGAGATGACGTCTTCGTAGGGGGCCCCACCCCACCCACCCAGGCAGCATCCTCACCCGTTCCTTCTTCTTCTGCATCCAGCTGTACTTCTTGTTGGGGTTTAGCTCACGGGGCAGCCGCAGGCTCTTGAGAGGGTCCACAAAGGGGCTATCCAGCACCTCCTGAAGCATGTGGCTGCTGGCTACCAGCAGGCTCTCCAGCGAGGGCCGAGCCACCATGCCCCGCTCTGCACCTGTAGATATAGCCAGGTAAGCTCATGCTATTCAGCAGACAGTGGGGCATGGCCCCTGGGCATGGCAGCCAGCCCTCCTCTGGCCCCAGACAGGAGGCAGGGGCCCCTCCGAGAGCTGACTGGACTAAGCCCATCCAGGATTAGGAAAAATGAGGCCCAGCCAGCCAGTGTGTGCTGACCACAGACAGACTCAGGAGAGGCATCCAAGGCCAGCAAGAGGCCTTTTCTAGGAACACGGCTTTTCTTTCCCTTCTGTACACTGAAGAGCTCACAAGATGAATACACATGGCATTCATCATCAGAAAAAAACAAACCCCAAATTAAAGAGTCCAAAATTGCCCAAGTCATACGAGCGAACAATGAAAAACACAGACCATGTAGAAAGGTGCAAAAGCCTCTACCTCACCTCCTCAAGGGTCACTTCCAGAAGGGAGGGGGCCTCTGTTGCTGGTTACTGGTAGAAGATTCCAGAAAAGGCTGTAATATTCAAATACATGTAACATACATGGATGTCTTTTTTAAAAAAATTGAAACTGGCATCAGTCAATACAGACTGCATCACGCTTGGCTTTTTTTCTTAACATCTTTTCATACTGGCACAACAAATCTATTCGCCTCCATCCGTGAGCCTGATAAAATCGCTATCTCTACAACTCAAAAGCAGTGGAATCAGAGCTAGACAGTGCCCGGCTACCACAACCAACTGCCCTGAAAGAGATCAAATTACAGGGTCCCAGATAGAACAGGAGAAGATGTAGAACAAAACTTAAAATTATTTAATAAAAAGACCAGGTTCACTGGTCAGAAAGAGTCCAGAGGAACACGAGACTAGAGCCCCCACCACCCTTCAGGTCTGGCCCAGTGTTCAGCTACATAGGTTTATAGGGCGGGACACCACCACTAGCAAGGTATGCTCACCATGGAATGGTCAGTCATTCCAAACTGAAAGGACAACATTTTCCTAACATTTGCCCTTTTGAGAAGGGATGGAATACAAAATATGAACCACAGGGAGTAAGTGGTTTAACTGTAAAGTGTAAACCTTCACTCAATTCACAATAAAAAGTTTTAAAAAAAAACACCAAAAAGCCAATTTCCCTAAGAAGCCAACAAACATTGGAATACTGGCAATTTTACATGAACATGACTGACGCTAACAGCAGCAGCCTAACCTCTCGCATCGATGTGATGATCTGCTTCTGTAAAGACTACAGCCAGGAAAACCCTTTAGGGTATTTCTTCGGACTTAAGTATTTTCACCATGTAAAAACCGTCAAACTGTCCATAATTTTTCTGTACCTTTATGTGTTTGAGCTATACAGGTAGTCCTCGACTTATGACCTATTTGAGTTATGACAAACTGCCAGTTATCAGTAGTTATAACAAACTACATACATGTTATCACTCTCAGACATTCACTCACCTTGTTCTGTTCAAAGATCAGATTTATAAAGCTAATGCTAATAAAAACTAAAAACAAAAACAGCGTTCCGACTTACATCAAGAGCCGTCATAATGAACCCTGTCAATAAGCCGGGGACTAACCTACCTGTCATTTAACAAAGGCAAAATTAAACTAAAGCTGAGTAAGGATGTGGGTGCCTTCAAGTTCAGGAGACTGTGCACCTTCGGAGGCGAGAAAGTGAGCTGTGGTTAGCAAGTCACCCGTGTTGAGGTTCCAGGGTGCTGGCAACATTGCATTTCTTGACTTGCATATTAGCTGTATAATTATTCTCTGAAAAAATGAGTATATTGTATGCCATTTTCTGTACACATATCATACGTTACCATTCCAGGATATATCTGTGGAGCAAATGGTGCAAAATAAAATGGAAAGTGCAAAAGTGGAAAATAAAATAGAACAAAAAATCCTGTGGGGTAGTTCTGTGACCCAGGGTCACTATGAGTGGGACTCCACTCTTCAGCAAGCAGCCAACAACAAAAATGCATCTCTGTATCCTCTGATGATAGCATTGTCGCAGACGACAGCACACTTAGGGACACGTACCTGGTAGGAACTCTCCCACCAATGTGGTTTGCTTGCATGAAGGCAAGCATGTCTGACTGTGATAAATATTACCAAGCACCTTCCAGAAAGGGGGCCCCAATTTAGAATCTCAACACTGGTAAACAGGGGCCCAGGTTCCCTACAAGCTCACTAGCTAATGAAAATTAACTACTTCTAATTTTCTACACATATCTCCTCTGTGATTCAGCACACAATCGATGCTTGTGCAGGCTCCACGTGTGCACAGAATAAAAGCGTGTTCTCTATTGTCAAACGTAAAAGTCCTGTAAGATCGGCTGAATCCTTGTTTAGGTCAGGATTTCTAGATTCCAGAACTATGAAAATTTGGGGACAAGCAGCTTTCTGTTGGGTTTTTCACTACATGGTGTCTAGCATCATCGCTGGCCTTTACCCACTAGATGTCAGCAACACACTCTCTCTCCCTCAAGTTGTGATAACCACAAGTATCTCAAAAAAAAAACCCCACCCTGCTTTCAAGTAGATTACAACTCAGAGCAACCCTACAAGAGAGAAGAACTGCGGCCAATAGGATTTCCAAGGCTGTACTCTTTATAGAAGTGTCTTGATATGGTGCTGTGGGTTAATGTGCTGGACTACAGCATTGGCTTGCAGCGCAAGGTCAATGGTTCAAGTTCACCAACCACTACTTGAAAACCCCACACAGGGTCACTATGTGTCAGAACTGATTTGACAGTACTTAACAACAACAATCTTTACAGAAGGGAGCACACAGTGGCTCTGTAGGATAAGCACTGGACTACAAACCATAAGGTTGGCAGTTTGAGCCCAGCAGCTGCTCCATAAAAGAAAGCCGAAGTTTTCTGCTCCACAAAGATTTATAGCCCCAGAAACTTGATACAGGGTTAGCTTGATAGCACTTAACAACAACCGTTAGAGAAGCAAACTGCCTAATCTTTCTCCCTCAGAGTAGCTTGTGGGTTTGAACCAATGACTTTTGGTTAGCAAACAAGCATTTAATCACTGTACCACCAATGTCTCCAGACTCTGCCAAATGTACCCTGGGGGTTAGGGAGTGTGGGAATCACACTTAGTTGAGACTCACTGGTTTTAATCTTCCAGATCCTTAGGGAAATTACTGCCATAAGGCAGGGAGGCACAACAGCTTTGAGACCTAAAGGAGCAGATGAGGCACAAAGAAGCAAGCGGAGGTGGCCGGCAGTAGATGCCACACCACAAGAAGATCTCGGAGGAACAGAGCTGACAGGAGAAAGCCTTCCCCTAGAGCTGATGGGCCTCACTTCACACTTCTAGCCTCCTAAAGTGTGAAGAAACAGAGTTGTTACAGCTGTCCCCACCTGCGGCCTTTGTCACCACAGCATTACAAGACAAGGATAGAGTTGGGCATTAGGAGAAAGCTGTCCAGCATGTCCGAAGACCATGTCTACACACCCCTTGTCTACTTCCAGTTCCTCCGAGTCACAGGGATCTTTGGTGCTGACAGGCAAGGGACTGGGCATGTACAGCCCTGTCACCCCTACACCCTCCATAAAGCCAGCCTAGCAAGGCTTTCCCAGCTGACAGCGAGGGATGCCTGAGGTGCTCCACCAGTGATGTGGACCAGGGGGATGGGGGGTGTACTATGACAGGGCAGCGGGAGGAGGACGGGAGGTAGCTGTGCCAGACCACCCAGTCAAACACTTCTGTGGAGAAGTGCATGTGGGGGGATCTGGGGAAGTCAGTGAGCCCTTAAAAACGTGTGAATCCAGGCTCCGAGAGACTGGGCCCTGCAGGATGACCAATGCAGTTTACTATCCCACCTGGAACCTTGTCCTAGTCTATGCCTAGTCTATGACACACTGGAAGACAGACCAGGAAGGAAAGGGAACCTCCAAGTCCTGCCCCATCCTCTCCTGTGGTCACAACTCTACCTTACCCCTCCACCCACCCAAGCTCCAAATCGCAACCCCAAGGGAGCACTGCTGGTACCTCAGACCTCAGAGGCGTAAAACAGAAGGTCCCTAGCATTCCCCCAGAACCTGTTTCCTCAAGCCCCAGGTCCTCACTCACCGGTGGCAAGTCTGTTCCTCCCAGGATCAAACCCAAAACTTGCAGTCCCTCTCGGAACACCCACGTCCGACCTACCAGCCAGCATAGCTGACCAGGCTTAGACCTCAATGCCCATTTGGACCCACACTCCTCACTCTCACCACCAGCCCACATAGTAGCCAAAACCAACAACTCACTTTCTATCCAATTCTACCGCTCCAGCCCAAAACACCTTCCCTTGCCTTGACATTTCACCCCAAATAAAAGCCAGCTTTATGATATCCGCAGGGCCCCCAGAACCTGGCCCCCATCCCATCACCGACTTCCTCACCTGAGCAGTCCTCACTCGGGGCAGTGGGGGGAGAGGTCCTTCCCTTCACATTTCAGAGCCTTCTGCTTGAAACAGTCTCCTCAAAATCCACCCTCTGCCTCAACATGCAGACCCAGAAGGGCTACTAGGTCCACCCCCCGCAAAAAGTTCACTGTCCACCTCTGCCCTGTCCCCTTCCTTCTTCCTGTTTTCTTCTACCACCACTGCTCAGTTTCCCAACAGTTATCTGACCACTGGACTCCTGGAATGGCACTATTAGATTAGCACTGGACTGCGAACCACAAGGTCGGCAGTTCAAACCCACCAGCTAGCTGCTCCTCGGAAGTTTTACACAGGTCACTTATGAGCCAGAACTGACTCAATGGCACTTAACAACAACAACAACAATCTGACCACTGCCAGGCACACTGCAGGAGCTTGCTAAGCACTTGCTGAATGAATGAATGCAGGTAAGGCCCCAAACAAAAACAGGAAACTGCAAAACCCAATCAGGTGTGCAAAAAGGTAAAGGATGAAAGAATGAGTAGTGGCCCCCAGAAGAGTAATTCTAGAAACTCCAGCCCCCCATTCCTCCCCATATCCCCCACCAGCCCCATTCCCTTTCATTTCCCAATTAGACGCCCACCAAGGACTAAGGGACTTTTCATTTTCTTCTAGACATTTTTTTTCACCCAAGTATTTCAATGGAAGAAAAGCAGCAGTGAACTTTACAACAACAGCAATGACAGATGCCTACGGTGGGGGGCAAGCATCTCTCCCCACTGACCACGGAACCACGCAAAGGTGCTTTCAAAGGGCCTTGAAAACATGCCTTCGGCCTCTGAAGAGCACTGGTGGAGCAGTGGTTGTATACTCAGCTATGAATCAGAATGGCAGAGATTTGAACCCGCCAGCCACTCTTCAGCAGAAAGATGTCCATCACATCAATTTTGACTCATAGGGCCCTTAGGCTTTCTTTATGGAATTAGAGGACCACATCTTTCTCCCATGGTGACTGGTGGGTTAGAATCGTCAATCATTTGGTTAGCAGCCAGGCACTTTCACCATGGTACTACCAGGAATCCTCCATAAATATTAACCCCAAATCCAAACCACTGCCATCAAGCAAGTGGGATGGAACTTTTCCTCAAAGATGCCAGTCTCAGACATGCTATGGGGCAGTTCTACTCTGTCACATGGGCTGTCAGTTGAAAATGGACTCAACAGCATCCAGTAGCATCCTGAGAGCTACCCTAAGGAAAAGCAGAGCTCTGGAATAACATTTTCCTTCAAAAATAATCATCACTACCCGGATGTAGACCTGGTTGGCCAGCAGTGTGCCAAGTCCAGAGAACTCTTGGACCCAGAGTCAGCGACATAGCCACAGAGGACTAGAGTGGAGAGTGAAGCATCCAGCTGATAAGAAGAGAGGGCATATGCATAAGAACACTCACTTACAGATAATACCCACTTGACCTGGCTTCAATGGCTGGATGATCAGAGCTCAACCAGAAGTAAAAAGAAGAGAAAAAAACAAATAAATAAGTATTCTCATACAATTTGATGAACTTGACCTACACCTATGGAAGAGCTCTTCACAGTGAGGATCATTCCCACCTCCTCTGCACACGGAGAGGACAGGGATGGGCAACTTGGAACATTGACTACCCAGAATAGGGGGGCTACAGAGGCAAGAAGTGACTGGCTTACAAGCTTTCAAGATGGAACCCAGATCCAGAAGGCATGGAGCAAAAGGTAGAATCTCCACTGAGTGGTATTCATTCTGCCTACTCGGGGCTGATGAAAGGAGATGCGGATAAGTCTCTTGTGATACAACAGCAAATAATTGTTATCAGGACTGATTTTTTAAGGACTGGAAATGTAAAGGTAGACGTTTTGGGGCAAAGGGAGGGGAGTGATTAATCTTGCAGTCTAGGAATGGAGGTCCCTGGGACCACCAAAGGAGAAAAGCAGAAAACGGAACCCTACCCAGAGAAGCAGTGATGCCAGAGATGGAGGCAGAGACAATGATGTGGAGAGATGGAGCAGCTGGGGACTTTGGACCTGGAGAGGGAAAGGGGCTGTGTGCTGACGACCAGGGGGCAGGCTTGTGGGGTATACCCTTTGGTTGATGGATGATGCATGGAAGGGATTGTAACCTAGCAAGGAAACAATATACGACAGGATCAGTGTGAAGCTAATGTCCTCCCATGTAAACTATCACATAATTCACAATAAAGTATTTTTTAAAAAAATCATGACTGTATTTGCAAAACAACAATATGGAAGGAAAAAAACAGGTCTGACCATTGTGGGTGGGTTGGGTACTCAGAGGCGGGGCTCCTCGCAACAGAGCCAAACTGGGCGGCAGTCCTAAAAACCCACAGCTTTAAAAAATGTCTCATAAAGAAGATAGTGCTGAGTTTCAAAACATCCAAATGTATCGGGGATGGAAAAAAATGGGAAACAAACAAACACAACAACACAAGCATACTTAATATTACTGAGCTGTGTGCATAAGAAGTGTTAAAATGACAGCGTTTTGTTATATACGTATTTTTTTTTAACCACAAAAAATAACTAGTAATATAATATACTTAGTCAAGAAAACAGGTTCCAAACACTGTATACAATACCCTTAATACAATTTTAATTTTAGATGTAAGGAGGATGGATGTGCACATGTAGGAAAAGAAGTATACCAAAATATTTAGAAAGGGCATCATCAGTTCTTCAACAGGGCTGCCTGGGCCCCTCTGTGCTGAGTGAAATAGTGGCTCTCCCTTCTGCTGAGGAACCCCATCTTCTTTTTTTTGTGTGTGGTAAAATACCTATCACAACGCTTGCCATTTTAACCATTTGCAAATGTACAATTCAGTGACCATGTTGTTAAGTGCCACCAAGTCAGTTCCAACTTACAGTGACCCTGTATAGGGTTTCCAAGAAGCAGGTGGTTGGTGGGTTTGAACCACTGATCTTGCAGTTAGCAGTCCAGTGCTTATCCTACAGTGCCATACCAGGACTCAGTGACATTGTTGCGGTTGTTAAGTGTCGTTGAGTCAGTTCCGACCCATAGCAACCCTGTATAGGGTTTTCCAAGGAGCGGCTGGTGAGCTTGAACCACCAACCTTGCGGTTCAAAGCGATTTAGCAATCCAGAGAGAGCATTAACCCACAGCACCACACCAGTGACATTCCCACCATCTATTCCCCAACACTTTTTCATCATCCCAAACAGAAACTCAGGAACTCTTAAGTGATAATTCCCCATCCCTCATTCCACCAGCCCCTGGCAAACACTAATCTACTTTCTATCCCTAGACATGTCACATAAGTGGGTTCATAAAGCAGTTGTCCTTTGTGTTGGGCTTATTTCACACAGCAAGTCGGTTCAGCTTTTGTCTTTATGACTAATATTACATTGCAGGGATGGATGGACCAGGGCTTGTGAATCCACTCATCAGCTAACAGACACTTGGATTGTTGTCAACCTTTTGTTGACTGTGAACCATGCTACCAACGACCACTGGTGTGTAAGTTTCTGTTCGTGCCTATTTTCAATGCTTTTGAATATCCCTAGAAGTGGAACTGTAGGATAAGCTAACTACAAGGTTGGCAGTTCAAACCTACCAGCCACTTCTTGGAAACCATACAGGGTCGCTATGAGTCGAAGCACTTAACAACAACAAACAACAGGAGTGGAACTGCTGGATGATAAGGTGGCTCCCTATAATAAGTACTGGACTGTGGCCTGTCAGCAGTTTAAGCCCACCAGCTGTTCCATGAGAGATTTAAAGCCTCAGAAACGCTATGAGTCGGAACCACCTTGACAGGACTTAGCACCAAGGTACCTCACATTTAAGGACCCTGAATTGGATGAAGAGAGGTGGCACACACACACTAGCCAATGGTGGAGTTTGGTCTGCCTACTCCATCTTTCTGGCCTTGAGTTTGCTTCTGTAAAAGGCATCAACCAAATCAACCAATGAGAGCACATCTCAGCGTTTCTGACAGTCACCAGGAAAGACAGGGTGTCCTGAGAGAGCGAGAAAGACCACTGAGCTGACTCGTCTACCCCACTGGCATGGGAGAAGCTAATGGTGACACCTTCACCCCACTACTAGGAGAATGAGTCTGCCTTGAATGAGGAGGCCAACAGACCAAAAAGTGGAACAGAGAGAGATGAGGAGTGTGAAGTAAGAGAAATTCCTGATGATTTAGATTGAGCACCTGTATCCAGCCAGACCTGAAACCCACAACACGATTACCGCTGGATTTTGGTGCCACAAGTTGATGTGTTCCCTCACCTTTTTCTAAGTTACTTTAAGCACACTCACCTCCCACCTCCTGGTTCCTCTTCTCTAATTCCAGCTCTGCGATCTCACTCAGCAGTGTGATACCTTGAAGGAAGCTTTGCCCCAGGACGAAGTTCTGGGCTGCCTCTAGCTTCTCCAGGGCCTGGGGTCCAGTGTCTGGGGATGGCAGGGGCCTGGCCTGGGGCAGCTCTGCTGCTGCCACCAGAGCGTTCATGCCGGCCAGAGGGTCCTCCAGGCTGGGCAGGAACTGCCCGGAGCCCGCCTCATCCAGGTAGCAGATGCTGCTGGGCACAGGCTCGGCCTCCGGGGCCTCCAGACCCAGGCCCTCCCCTTCCCCAGCAGGCAGGTCACAGTCGGCCAATTCCAGGCTGGGTCGAGCTTCACTGGGAGTCGCCAGGGCCAGGCCTTCCTCAGGCACTGCCTGCCCTATGGGTATGTCGACGGGCACCTCTACTGGCTCCTCCTTGGCTTCCACTAGTGTCTCGGGCGTCAGCTGACCCCCCAGGTCTGGGTTAGCCAAGCAGGGTTCTGTCCGGCCCGGCGATTCAACCGGTGCTTCAGGTCCCTCTGCAAAGTCCGGACACTCGGAGGGCTCCGCACACCCTTGCGCCCCAGCACTCAGTGCCTGGGCCTCCAGCAGGCCAGCCCCGCTGCCAAGCACGGGGCTGGGAGCCGGTAGGACCTCAGTTGTTGACAGTGCCAGCGGTGACCCCAGTGGGGGTACCTCCGAGGGGCTCCCATCCAGGTCCTCCACCTCTGCCTTCACCTCCCGCTCCACCAGCGTCTCTTCCTCTGGGGGTCCCCGTAGTGGCTCGGGGATCTTGGAGGGGGACAGGCGGATGGGCTTGTCTTCTGGAGAGAGCGTGAGGCGCTCTGGCCCATCAGCCGGGAGTGGCACGTCAGGAGCCAGGCCATCGGCGTCGGCAGCTGCTGTGGGCTGCAGTAGGAATGGATAGGGCCTTCCATAGTGGGGCGGCAGGGCTTGAAATGGGTACCTGGGTGGGATATCTGCCAATGAGACAAAGAGTCAGCATGCAGCTGGCCAAATTCAAGAGCCCTCCCACCACCATGCCCCATCAGCTTGACCAGTGTGAGGTCTCGTCCAATCGGGTGTCTGAGAGGCCCAAGGGCCACAGAGGAAAAAACAGCTGCCATCTTGTCTAGTCTCCAAGGACTTAGAAGTCTTAGAAAGGGCAGGCCTTCCTTCTCATTCCTCTCCCACCCCCCACCCTCCTAGGAACCCAGATCCAGCCACACCTGAAACCATATGCTCAATAAAAATCTACAAAGACCCAAGAGCCTCCCGTTCCCCAAGGACCCCAGCCAATTAAAGCAGACTTGGAGTATATGGGTATCTGAGCATCATGAGGAAGCTCTGTCTGACCGCCCACCTGCCCACCCCCGACCTTTTTCATTCAGGCTCCACCTCAGTCAGGAGGCGGGAGTGTGTTCAGCATGTCCCCTGTGATTTTCCTGCCCCAGCCATGCCAGGCAACTTTAGGTGCTCGACTGAATCCAAATGAAGGTTGAGAGGAAGGAAGTACCCCAAGTCAGTAGTGCTATACTCAGAACTAGCCATCAGCATCTCATGGACTCTCCCCAAGAGAGGGTGAGCCACTGGCCCAAGCACGTACAGCATCATGGTGGCAGAACCTGAATTTGAACCCAAGTCTGTCCACATGCAAGTATATGCACTTGTTAAGTGTCTTCAAGTCAATTCCGACTCATAGCAACCCTGTAAGGACACAACAGAACTGCTCCCTTGGGTTTCTTAGATTGTAAATCTTTAAAGGAGCCTCCTCGTTCTTCCTCTGAGCAGCTGGTGGATTCAAACCATTGACTTGGCCGTGCGATGTTTAACCCACAATGCCACCAGAGATCCTTCTAATAGCCACCAGGAAGGAGAAACATAAGCTCTGTCCCCATCAGAGTCATCAGCCTGCCAAGTCCCTGGACATGGAACACAGGCGAGGGAGTATGTGTGTGCCCAAGAGAGACATCTTCATGCTAATACAACCAATGACAATTCAGCAACTACAATGTGCTCGGCAGAGTCCCTGGTTAATGCACATATAAGATGATAATCGAAAGGCTGGTGGCTCATGTTTATCCAGAGGCACCTCAGAAGAAAGGGCTGGCTACTCCTGAAAACTAGCCATGGGAAACCCTCCAGAGCACACATGGGGGGTGGGAGGGGGGGCACCATGAGCCAGGACTGACTCAACAGTAACTGAATATCGGTCAAGTCTTTCTTGGGTCTTACTTTAAGGTTGAAGGAGCTCTGCTGGCACTAGGTTAGTCATTGGGCTGCTAATCTCAAGATCAACAGTTCAAACCCACAAGCCACTCCTCAGGAGAAAGACAAAGCTGTCTGTCCCATAAAGATAGAGGGTTGCTGTGAATCAGAACCGACTCAGTAGCAGTGGATTTGATTTGGTTTAGGACACGTTAAAGTACATTAAGGTTTAAAGTTCAAAACAAGACGTCCTGAGCAGGTCTTAATATTACGCCCATTTGTCCTAACACCACCACTGAGGAAGTGATGTGAAGGAAAAGATTCTCGTCAGCTTGGTTGGAGCACTTGGATCCAGCCATAGATAAAATCAGGAGCTGGAGGGAGAGATCTGGCTGTACTCATGATTTGTTCTAGTGCCTAACCCAGGCCTGGTGCATGTGATCAACAGAGACAAAATGTATGAATCAGCAGCAGCCAGGAGTCCAGGAGGATGCAGATCCTAGGAGGGGCCAGCACTGCTCACCTGAGAACAAGGCCTGGAAGGGGCTAGGGGCTTCCTTCTCCAGCTCCAAGTCCTTCTTCTCCACAACGTTCTCGGGTGCCTCCTCCTTGCGGGTGATGCCCGGGGCGGGTGGTGGGGAGGCGGGCGGCGGGCTGCTGGGATGGGAGCTGGGAGTAGCAGGGTAGGCATAGCTAGGTGGCTTGGATACATCCTCCAGCTTCTGGATGACCTTGGCCTTCAGGGCAGCCACAGGAGACGCACGGGGGGACAGGGGCTGCGGTGGGCTCATGTTCTTACTGTAGGCACCCGCAGGGCCTGGGGGCTTCCGAGGCAGCAGCCCAGGGCCCGCGGTGGTCAGATTAGCCTTGCCTGCGGCCTCCAGGCTCCGTCTACCCACTTTCTCCTCCATCTCCACACGGTGCTCCTGGGCCTTTAGCCGCTCCTGCTGGGGAGGGGACCAGCATACAGGGTCATTGAGACAGAAGCCATGGGTGCCACCTGTCCTGAGGCCCTGTTTGTTCCCTGAGGAAAAGCTCAGGCAGGGTCTGGGGTCTGGGCCACCCAGCCTACCCAGGCTAACACAGACATTCCAAGTAAACGTGTAACAAGCACAGAGTTCTACCCAGAACCCCAGAAGACTGAACTGGGGGTGGGGACCAGAGTGGGGCAGATCTGGGGAGGCAGGGGGACCTAAGTGCCTTCCAGGGACTCCACCTGGAGCCTGAAGTCCAGCTGCAAGGATCCTATGGTGAAGCACCACCCCCTTCCAGACACCTGCAGGTGTCAGAACCTTGGGGATACCCACTCCCTGCTACCCCACTTTCTCTGTATTAGCTACTACAAGGAGCTCTCAGAACTCCTCAGGAGTTAGCTGTGAGGAAGGAGAACAATGAGGCCAGGCTCCATTGGGCTCAATGGGGGCTATCAGTCCTCTGTAGGGGTACAGGGGACCACCAGAGAACTCTTCAAACACAGAAAGATTAAGCCACTTATCTAAGGATGCCTATCCCTGCAGAGCTAAGATTCCCACCCAGGGCAAGTAGTCCCAAGCACATCCTTCCCACCTTTCGGATGCAGGCCAACCAGGCCAGGCAGTCCAGCCAGGCCCTCCTGAACCCCGACAGTGTACAAGGCTGCCTCTCCTGCTAATGATGTCTACCCAGCCAGGTTTTCCATGGTTTCTACTCAGGTGCCACCTCCTCCAGGAAGTCCTCCCTGACTGCCCCTCTCCCACACAGTCTAGAACTGTTTGGAGGTGTTGACTGCTCCTCCTCACCATGGATGCGGGTGCAGTCCCAGGAGGAAGGGGTCAGCCCCACTCCACTCACCACCAGCTGGGCGCTCCTCTGCAACTCCAGGGCCTGGGCTGCCTGCTGCTGTAGATACAGGAACTCCTGCTGTCGTAGGAAGTGCTGCTGGGAGAACAGCTGTAGCTGCTGGGCGTGGTGCAGGGGGCTGCGGCCCGGCGGGTACAGGGCAGGCCAGAGTGGGGGCCCGGCGGCCCGCTCCATCAGCTCCGCTGTGGGGAGACAGGCTATAAGGCTGCAGTGACATCCATGCCACCACCCAGGGACCAGAAGCCCTGTCCGTGTCCACAGCCCAGGGGGAGCTGAGGCTATCAGACATATGTGCTGGTGGGGACCCTTCTTAGGATCAGTAGGGGGCCTGTCCTGGGGTTGATGTTGTCTTAGGATCAATAAAGGGCCTGTCACTGGACTGATGGGGGCCTGTCCTGGGGCCAACAGGAACCTGGACTCAGCTCTCCAGCCCCCAGTCTCCAAACTCTCCCACCATATCCAAGAGTCTGCAATTAGACCACTCAGGGGAGGGAGGCCTCCCTCCACGGTCACTCTGGGCTCTTCTCAAATGGGTTTTTGGGTAAGATGTCATCTCAGTGGCTTTCAAACACGTGCAACATCAAACATTCTCCCCAAATCCAGGTTTGCCCCCCACCCCTCCCCACCACAGACCCTGCCCACCATCCCAATGCCCACTCACCAAAATGAGGCAGGTGATCACTGGGAATGACCACCAGCTGGCCTGACTGGGGGTCTCTGACAAACTGGTAGGCTGAAGGTAGAGAGCCCCCCAGGCCAGGGGGGAAGGCGGGCGCCATGCCCTGGTGAAGAGAGGGGGGCCCCAAGCCTAGGAAAGATATCAGGCTGTTGGTGCTGGGGGACCCACTGTCTTCCAGGTCATCTTTGCCCTGTCCCCCATAGTCCCAGGGCCCCATCCAAGAAACCAGGACAGGTTGCTGGCTGCAAACAGCCCCTCAGAATACAGCACTGGACCCCACACCAAGCTGGTCCCAGAATTAGCCTCTTGGGCCAGACAAGAGCACTAAAGCATGGCGGGCGAAGGTAAACCAGAGATGGGGTACCCAGCTCCACATTCAGCCCTCCCACTCCATCCCTGAACCACCCCCAGGCTGTACTCACACCCCATCCTCCTCCAACAGGGAGGTGAGGGTCCCCAAGTCCAGCCAGCCAACCTCCCACCCACCACAGAAGTACTCTCTGCTCCCCACTTATTATAGGGGCACCCAGTCCCACCCCATAACCTCCTGAACCCACCCACACTCACCAGAGGAGTGCCTGGTCCCACACCTGCCCTCACTCACCGTACGGGTGCCCAGCGAGCCACATGGACGTGCTGCCCGAACGAGGCAGCCAGGGGTGCGTGGCCAGGTGGGCTGCGGGGTCGGCAGACCAGCGGCCAGAGCCAGGCAGTGCGGGGCCCCCAGTGACCATGAGGTTGGGGTTTAGACCATTGGCCGCACAGCTGGTGGGGTGTAGGCGGGCCAGGTCTGCCAGTTCCTTGCTTTCTCTGGAAGGGGCACAGAGACATCAGCCACCAACTGGCCACCTGGCCCCAAGGAATGGTTGGGGACAGTGGGCTGTGGCCCCAAGGACCAGATGCAGGAGGGGTCCAGGCCTCCTCCTGCCCCAAGGCCTGGTCTCCTATGCCCAATGTCCCTACCTGCTCCAGCACAGATTCACTCCACCTCCCCCACAGGCAGTCAGGGGTGTAGGGCAGCCAGGTTCCCCTGGAAAGAAGGGTGTGGACAAGCCACCTGGCAGGGACCTCATCCACTGGCCGCTGAGGCCTTGGCCACATGGACGTGGAGTACAGTGACTGGTCTGAGCTCTTCTTTCAACTGTCAGGATAACCCCATACTCATGAGGGTGCTGAGGCTCAGAGCAGAAGGAAGGGTCCACAGGGCAGGCCCCCTCTTGCAAGCCTCACCTGAGCAGCTTCTCCTGGTCCCGGTCCAGCCGTCCGTCCAGCAGCCGCTCCTCCCGGTGCCGGCCACGCTCCTCCGCACAGCCCTCCTCAGCTCGCCCATGCCCTGAACAGGGAAGCCAACACGGGGTCAGCATCCCCAACAACTCCAGGTACCCGTCCCTCCTGCTGGCCTTTCCCCTCAGCTGCCTGCCCCCACCGTCCTCAGAGACCCTACCCTGTGCAGCTCTGAAATGTCATCCTCCACCAAAGTCACCTGCCAGCAGCCCTTGGCCCTCCAAACTCAGCCCAGTGTCCCATGCACCAGAGAACATGCTCTACCACCCTGCAGACAGGCCCATCTCTAATTGGACAGGTAACTGTGGCTGGTGAGCAAACCCCTGTTTTTGTTGGATTCTAACTCATGGCAACCCCACGGTGACAGGGCAGAACCTCCCTATAGGGTTTCCCAGGCTGTCGTCTTCACAGAAGCAGACTGCCAGGTATTCCTACCGAGAAGCTGCTGAGTGGGTTCGAACCATCAATGTTTTGCTGAGCAGCCACGAAATGAACTGTTTTCATCACCAGGGCTCCTTCATTACTATTAAGTGCCATGGAATCAGTTCTGACTCATAGTATAGGGTTTCCTTGTCCTACAGCACCACATCAGGAATCCTATTAAACCTTGTTGTGTACCATCAAGTCAGCTCTGACTCATAGCGACTCGGTATAGAGTTTCCAAAGCTTCATTTTCCTCCAGATTAAACCCCTATATATCACTATTAAACAAAATCTGCAAAGTACATAATAACAAACTGCAAAGCCCAGTTTGAATCTCAGCTAGTATTTTAAGGACAGGATGGTGGGTTCTAGGGGTAGGGTTTGGGAGATGGGGTAAAGGCAAAGCCACAACCCCGAAACGTAATGACATTCAGAATGATAAAAAGACAGACCTGTCTGGGGATCATCCACTCAAGACAGAATAGATTACACGTGGCAACTAGAAATCACAATCAAAGAGTCAAACCCAAGGACTAATGGGTCACATAACCTCAGTGTCCAGGACTCTGAACCCAGAAGATTGAGATAGTGTCCCACTACCAATACCAAAGGCTTTGAGAGGGATCTCATTAGAAGGTTCTGGATAAAGTGGAAGAAAATTGTAAAACAAAAGGCAAAATCATAAAAAAAAAAGAGCAGGTTTACTGGTCTGATAAGAGACTGGTGAACCCCTCAAGACTATGACTCTCAGTCACTTTCAGGCCTAGAACTGAACTCACCCCCAGGGCTCAACTTTCAGCCAAACAATAGACAGGCCTACCGGGTGAACAGCACACTCCTTAGAACAACCAATCACACGATATCAAAAGGGCAATGTTTGTCCAGGGATAGAGCGCAGAAGTCAGGACAGGAAACGGGAAACCCAGCGAGGAAGTGGGAAGAGTGCTGTTGCATTGTGGGGTTGCAATCAACATCATGAATCAAAACGTTTATGGTATAATGGAAACTCTGTACACTGCCACCAAATCACAACCAAACAGTTTCAAAACATAAATAAAGCCAAAGTACACTCTCCGCATGTGGGGGCGAGGTCAACACACCCCAAACAAGAGGTATCACCAGCTTGCGGATCCCTGCATGACCCTGAGCTAGACATGGAACCCCCACACATCTCCTCTCAATGCTGTGGTAACCCTGTGCCTAGAATGCAGAAGAAACAGGTTACTTCCAATGTGGATGGTCTAGCCCCACCACACACACAAGCAAAGAAGGTGGATCCCCAAATCCCAATCTGGTTAATGACGGAGGAGGGACAGGGAGTGAATGAGAGGGAGGGAGGAGTGTTTTACCATCACTCTTCCTCATCATGTCACAGGCACCAGCCCCGCCCTGGCCCCTGATGCCCACAGCAGCGGCAGCTCTAGATCAGGCAAGGGCGGAATGGCAGCAGGAGCCACACAGACCTGCAGGAGTGCCCTGTTCCCGGAGTTACTCTACACAGCAGCGTAACCAGGAACTCAGTGCTAGCCAAGATGACTCCTCGCCTCCCTCCCCACCACCTGTCACACAGACTTAGTTGTTCAACGGCCAAACTTCTGTAAGGAGATCGCCAGGTCTTTCTTCTGAGGCCACTGGATGGACTAGACTCTACGGCCTTTCAGTGAACCAATGAACACATTCAGCATTTGCTCTACCCTGAATGGGCACTCTGCATCTCTTCCAGCTTGAAGCCTCTGTCCCCTGTCCCCTTCCCATGGCTGGCGGAAGTAGCAGATCCTCAGGGGTCTGAAGGCTGAAAAGCAATACTTCCCCCAGAGAGTCATAGTTAGCAGGGCACCTGATTGTTGGCTCAAGTCCATCCAGCCGTACCTCGGAAGAAAGGCCTGGTGATTCACTCCTGAAATTTCAGCCCTTGAACACACCTCCCTGAGTAGCACAGTTAGATTCAGTGCTGCCTCACAGTGAGTCCTGAGCAGACTTGCCTTGCAGTCTGGTCACATTGCCTTCCAGTCTGGTCCCCAGGACTGAAAGGGGACTTGCTCATGGAGAAACTGAGGCCCTGGCAGGAATGAGCATAGTGGACCATCCAAGGGTCCAAAATAACTACTTGGGAATCTCAGGATGTGGGCTCAGTCCCATGCTCAGAAGGAGAGGGCTCCCTAGGCTCAAACCCCACAGAAAGGCTGTCTTCATGTCCACAGGGTCACCTCTAGGCAGTGTTCCGAAAGCCCCTATTTTCACCAGGTGGAACCTCCCTTGGCTCTCCTGAACAACAACCCATCACGGCTTCAGGGCTTCCCTTCCCAGGGGACCAGAGACCTGTCTGCATGTGGCTGTTACCCCAAGGTCACTAGGCCTCTCCCCCAAATTCTATCTGTCTCCTGAAGCAACTGTGCCACCCTCTATCACCCCACTCTTGGGGGGGGGGTGTGTGTGCTATGGCTCTACCCTCAGCATTTTGTACCTCTCTGTCCCCTGTTGACACTCATCCCTCCCTTCAGAGACCATGGCCCCTTCTCCAGGGTGCCCCAACCCCTCTCCCCTGTTCTCTGCACTCATGCCACACCCCCAGCTAGACCCCCTTCCCTGGTCCATTCACCTCCTCTTCTGGGAGCCCCTCCCTGACCACCTCTCGTCTCTTAGGCTCCCTCACAGCACTGGCCACAGTACAGAGGCCATGTCTGTCCTGTTTGTGGCTGCCTAAGCCCTCTCCCCACACAGTGCCTGCCACCAAGGTTCGGGGAGGGGACAAACACAAGTGAACAGAACAAACGAATGAATGAATGATGGATTCTCATGGGAATCTAGATGAAAAATGAGCCATGAGAGAGAGAACAGTAAGTGCAAAGGGCCTAGGGCAGGAGCAGGCACACCCAGGAGACTGTCGGAGCTGGAAAATCCAGAGAGGGTCCATTCAGCACAAGATCATAGAAGGGGGTGACTAGGGAGGGTCATAGGGTCTTGTTGGGGCTGAAAGGGAACATGGATCAATGTTTATTCAAGGAAAGCAGAGAGCGATGGCAGTTCTGAGCAGGGGTGTGACAAGAACTGAGCCCTCTGACCATGGTGACTGAGGAACCATCTCGTTTCTGGGATAAGTTCCCAGCTAGGCCAGTGTTGTGGACTGAATGGTATCCTTCACCACCCAGGCCAAAATAGTATCTGTGGATGTGATCCCATTAGGAGACAGAGTTCTCTTTCCTAGGTCCAAGAGGCTGGGTCGTAAACCACTCATTTCTGAGAGAAAAGCCGATTCTGCACAGAAGCAAAGAGACACACATTCAAGACGAACACTATAGAAAAGTAGTGGGGGTCAGCCATGAACCCCGAGAATGGCCAGCTAGAGACGCTGAGATTTGGACCTTTCCCCAGAGTCAACAAAGGGGCAGAGAAAGCTTTGCTCTAGAGCCGGCACCCTAAATTCTGACTTCTAGTCTTCTAAACAAAGATCCCTGGTAACACCGTGAGTTGCGCATTGGGCTGCTAACTGCAAGGTCAGCAGTCCTAATGTACCAGCCACTCAAGGGAGAAAGATGAGGCTTTCTGCTCCTATAAAGATTTATAGCATAGGAAATCCTGTACCCAGTAGGAACGGACTGCATTGCACACAACCACCACCAGCCTTCTAAACAAATTCCTGTTTATTAAGGTCACACCTGCTTGTGGCTTTTCTATTCTAGTAGCACTAGGTCCCCCTAAGGCCGTCCTCATGGAACCCCAGCCTGGTGGGAGACCCAGTTCCTCTGGGAGGTATCTGTATAGGGCAGAGGAGTGGGACCCCTGATTCCAGAGACACATGCTTGGACCCCGGTTATCCTGCACCCACTCAGGGTTCCGTGGCCGACAATGCCCCCCACACCCGACATGCCTTCACTCATTCCATTGTCACTACCCAGGAGGCCCACTGCTCATACCCAGCTTCCAAATGGGGAAACTGAGGCACATCTGCTCAGGCCCCAATACTAACAAAGCAGGTACCATACTGGCTGGGGTGTCTCCTTGACTGCTGGGGACCCCCACTGTGAGCAAAGTCCCAGAACGGGCTCTGGGGACACACAGGCCCTTTCTAACTGTCAATATCTGTCTATAGCACATCCCAGCAGCCCCGCCTCACTCAGCTCCTCCCCTCGAGGGGGGCGTCCCCAGTGCAAGCCACCACTATCCTCTGGGTGACAAGTGACCTGGCCATGTGTCACAGATTCTACATCCTAGCTGTGAAGTGTGAGGCTTAGGCTGAGGTCTGGTTGCTATAGCAACCTCATCCTAAGTATCTTGCCCAATACATACTCTCTAGAGGTCTGAGGCAGCAGTCAGGTGGCCCACTCCTCCCAATGCCTCTGTACAGCATCAGCCCCTACAACAACCCCTCCAGATCTCCCCCACCCCCATATCTGGTCCCTAACTTGCCTCCACCACAGAGGGGATGGGCAAAGACAAAAGGAGGGAGAGACAGATCCTAGTTTGGAGGTTCAATTCAATTCTGTCTTTATATCTGCGTGACCTTGGCAAGTCAGTTGGCCTCTGTGTGATCAGTTTCCCCATCTGTCAAGCTAGAATGACAGTTCCCACAAGGCAGGACTGTGAGGGATATGATGGTCAGTCTGGTCACAACAAAGCTGTCAAGGT